ATGGGAATGCGGGCTGCGGAGAGCAGAGCCTGGGGAGCCACAGGAGAGGATGGTGGGGGGGGTTAGGAAAACACCCATTAAACCACATTAACATGCCATGACCTGATCCGAGGAGGATAAATCACCCCGGTCCCATTCAGTGACCAAGAAAAAGCAAATGATGTGGGGTTATGAATTCATTGAGGTGCTGGGGTGGGAGAGTTGCGGCGCTGGGATCCCTGAGTGTTACGGGCCAGGACTGGTGTTTCCCATAGACCCGTTTCCTGTGGGATGAGGCCAGGCTGGAGCAGAGCCGGGATGAGCATCCCTTGGTGCAGGGGCCGGCTGCTCACAGGGAGAGCACCACAGGGAGCTGAGGACAGCGCAGGGCTCTCCCAGCCTCCCAGCAGATGATTCCAAAGGAGGTGGTTTGTTCCTCCTCTCCCCAGGAGCGCTGCTGGAGAACTGGTTGGAGAGCTCAGCGGGTCTGTGCGATCAGAGGCACAAGCTGAGTGGATGCGAGCCAGGTTTCTATGAGCACTTGGGAAGCTGGGTGCAAACAGGAGTTTAATTAAACCAAGGCAATCACATCAAAGCCGGTCCCTGTGTGGATGCCCCTCTTAACTGGCAGGAATTAATTAAGGAGTTGGCGTTAAACCTGTTCCCTCTCGATGGAGGCGCAGCCTGATGGAGCTGGTGGCTCTGCCTGTGGCACTTTGGAGCTCCTGCACCATGTTTGGGCCAGGTGAAAGCAGAGCTGGGACCTGCTCTGGCTGCTCAGCTGCACTGGGGGAACTCATTTGGGCTCCTAAACCCCAGCCCCAGCAGCCAGGATGAGCCCTGGGATCCAATGGATGAGCTTCCAGCAGGTACAAATCAGGGCAGCCCCTTCCCCAGGCTGGGTATGGTTGTATTCATGGGAAGGTCTGGCTCAGAGGAAGCTGCCCCTGGTTTTGGGGACTTTGCCTTTACTTTGAGTGCAGATTGCAGCAGAAGACTCTTGAGAAGGGTTAAAGAGAGCTTCCTGGCATCAGCCTGGCTGTGAGCAGGAGGAGGGTAGAGTTGGGTCAAGCTCCCCTGGTATCAGGGAACAGCTTTGATGATAAAGCAGAGGGATTTGGAGCGGAGCGAGAGCTGCTTGTGGAGGAGGGATGGGAGAGGAAGTATGTGCCTGGATATCATAGAGGTAAGTGAAGGCTGCAGCCTCCCTAAAGCTCCTCTGCCATTCCTGTCTTTGCTTCACCCCAGCTGAAAGCTTGTACTTGGGCTGCAGAGCAACTGGATGCTGTAAGGTGCTATTGGTTCACCCTGCTGGGAAAATCAAGCCAGGCTGGAACATCATGGAATGGTTTGGGTTGAAGGGACCTTAAAGCTCATCCAGTTCCAATCCCTGCCCCGGGCAGGGACACCTTCCACTAGAGCAGGTTGCTCCAAGCCCCTGTGTCCAACCTGCCCTTGAACACTGCCAGGGATGGGGCAGCCACAGCTTCTCTGGGCACCCTGTGCCAGCGCCTCAGCACCCTCCCAGGGAAGAGCTTCTGCCCAAGAGCTCATCTCAATCTCCCCTTCGGCAGGTTCAAGCCATTCCCCTTGTCCTGTCCCTACATCCCTTGTCCAAAGCCCCTCTCCAGGTTTCCTGTAGCCCCTTTAGGCACTGGAGCAGCTCTAAGGTGTCCCCTTCAGGAGCCTTCTCTTCTCCAGCTGCCCCAGCCCAGCTCTCTCAGCCTGGCTCCAGAGCAGAGCTGCTCCAGCCCTCGCAGCAGCTCCAGGGCCTCCTCCAGACTCACTCCAGCAGCTCCACGTCCCTCTTGTGTTGCCCCAGAGCTGGATCAGGGCTGCAGGGGGGGTCTCCTGAGAGCAGAGGAGCAGAATCCTCATCCCTGGCTGGCAATGAGGGATGCTCCCCACCAGGCTTCAGGCCCAGGGAATGGTTTATTGCAGGAGGCACATTGTCCCTCCGGTTCAGTGAACTGCTGGTTCTCTGTGCCCTGCCAGAGCAGTTCTGGTTTCAAGCAAACACTTTGAGTGAAGCCCTGGCTCCACTGACATCAGTGGCCTAGTTCCCCTGGTGCTGGTGCCATCCAGATCCTCCTCTAAGACCTACCCAAAAGCTGCTTTTATGCTCGAGCTTTTTGGTCATCTGGAACCAAGGACCTTTGGAAGGCCTCTGTGTTTTTACTAGCAACAGACTCATGGACTAGAAAAGAGTGTGGGAAGCGCAGAACTGTGCCTACCTTCTTGTGCTGCTGTACAAGATCCCTCAAGGAACAAGGCTGCTCAGTAAAGCTTCCTGATGAGCCCCATTTAGAGAGGGAACTACTTAATATTTCAAGTTTTATTTTAAGAAATGTGCTTGTTCAGCCCAGCACTAAAGGAACCCATTTATCTTGCAGGAAAGCGTTTCTTTTTCTCTCTCTGGAAAGCATTATCCCTGCGTTTGTTCCTGACTTGATCATTTGACTCCTTGAAAGCAGGCAAGGAAATAACAGAAGAGCTTTCCCCTGCTATTTCCAGATGAGCTGCTCTTTATAGGATACATAATTGTATGAAACCCCAGCCCTTTGCAGCAGGTTCCCCACAGCATTGCCTAGATGGAGGCTGCAGCCTTACCTAGTGGCCTGTTACCTTCAGTAACTGCAAACTCAGGTTTAAGTGATGCTTTGGTTAGAGTTGTCGGGTGCTTTGAGGCTGCTTGGGAAGAGTTGAGCTTCTTTCCTGATGCTCTGGGTCTCCTGAAGGGCTGGGGATCAAACTGATGTGGTCCAGAGCTGGTTACGTCCCACTGGTCCTTCCCCTGGGCACCGCCTGGCCCTCGGGCTCCTTCCTCCTCCCCTCGTTCCTCTAACCCTGTGCACAGAACCACCCTTTGCAGGTTATTTAAGCCCCATGTCAAGTCTTTCCCATGGACCAGCTGCTCATCCCTGCTGGCAAAGGTAACTGGAAAATGCCTTGAGGGGATTTTCCTTGCACAGGGGGAAGTACTCTGTGCTGAGGAGCATCCTCAGCCCTGGTGCTGCCAGCGAGGCAAGTCAACCTCAGGGCTAGCACTGGCCACTGTAAGATAACAACAGGCTTGGGTAAGGTTGTTTTGCCTGTTTATGCCTCCTTTTCCCTTCCAAGAGGGTTGTGGTGTTATTCCTGTGGCAGGAAAGGGTTGTTTTCCTGCAGGACTCGAGCAGGCTGGTGCTGCCTTTCCCCTGGTACCCACTGCATCCTGCTCTGGCTGCCCCATGGAGAGGAGTCCATCTGTCCCTCCTAGGAGAAAACCATGTCCAGAGAGCACGTCCAGCTCCTCAGGGCTCCTGCAGATGTGTCTCTCTTGGTCATGGGTCAAACAGGAGCTGGAAACACTGGAGCCCCACGGCCCTGTGTCCACCTTCCCTTGGCTGATGTGGCCCCTTTCCTTGGAAGTCATGCTCAGCCCTGGCCTCTCCCTTGGGGAATGATGCTCGGCAGAGCTCATGGGATGCCCGGGAAGTGGATTTATGTCTGTGGCTCCCCACCATGTTTTAGCTCCTGACCCCTGCACCTCGCTGCAACCTGTGCCAGGGCATGAGGGTCCCCTGAGTGACGCAGCACCGAGACCCAGCGTGGGAAAGGACGTCAAGGCTGGGGGGAGCGGGGCTGCAATGATGGGGCAGAGTCTGCCGAGGTCAGCCTTCCCCTGGCTCCAAGTGCCGCTGCCAAAATCCCATGGGGAAAGGAGATGTTAAAGCCCCAGTTTTGGGGAGAAGCTGCCTGTAGCTTGTGGGGTGTCCCCTTCAACTCCAGCATCATGTCCCCTGGACAAGGGTGGCAGCAGCGCCTTAAATCCCATCCTCAAGAGCAGCACCCCAGTGTGGTTGTGTAACTGGGGGTTTGAGGCAGGGGCAAGTGTGTCGTCAGGTTCCTTCCAGGAACATTTTTATTGCTTTTGCAGTCATTTCCCACTGAGGCTTCCTGAGGTCAAGTGCTGGGCTGGGAGCCACGGGGCCTGATCCAGCACCCACCACCCTGCACTGGGCACAGCCGCCTGTGAGCTGGGGACCAGTGATGTGCCTGGAACAAGGAGTTCCCTGCAGCCCACGCTGAGCTTTTTGAGCAGCATCTCCCTTCCAAATCACAGGGCAGGGCTGGGCACAGCAGCTCGGGCACCCAGAGCCATGCTGGGCTCCTCCGTGCCCTGCTTGTGCCGGGGAGTGGAGAAAGGGCCATTCCTCCTGGCTGTGATGTGCCTGGCCAGGCTGTGGATACTCTGGTCCAATATCTTATGCAACGACTCTTGCCCAGAGAAGCTGTGGCTGCCCCATCCCTGGCAGTGTTCAAGGCCAGGCTGGACACAGGGGCTTGGAGCAACCTGCTCTAGTGGAAGGTGTCCCTGCCTGTGGCAGGGGTTGGAGCTGGAGGAGCTTTAAGGTCCCTTCCAAACCATTCCATGGTGATTCTATGAGCTGTGATGAGTTTAGCCATTCTCTTCCCCAGGCTCTGCATTAAGGCAGCCTCAGGGGGCAGGTTCCCACCCGCTGCGCTCAGAGCAGCCCCATAAGGGCAGTAGGATCTGGTGGGCTTGCCATTGGTGTCCCCATGGCCAAGGGGGCTTTGGATAAGTGATCTTTGCTGTTGCCACCCCAGAGCTTTGGGGAAAACCCTGTTTCTCTGCAACATGGAGCTCGGGGACATCTCCTTGGCCACCTAGACCTGAGCCACCATCAGCATCTTCATCAGCATCACCCACCAGCTCTCCTAATTGACACCAGAGGTGTTAGTGCCCTGAGGCATCAGCAATGGCTGGGCACTGTTGTGTAGCAGTGCTATTAACTGCAAG